AATTTGTAGAGTAGATTTATTTTCTTGTAATTTATTTTGTAGTTTAGATTTTAATTCTTTGTAGTTAGATTTATTTCTCATTCATAGTTTAGATTTTTCTTTTCTTTTTATTTTTGTAATTAGTTCTTTTTCTTCTTGCTTTTATTTCTTAAGATGTGAAATTAATTCTTGTAGTAATCTTAGAATTGTATAAAACTAGTCTAATTTCCTTTATATTGTATGAATTATTCTTTTATACTTAAAATGATCATGTTTAGGATAATCAATTAGAGAACTAATTGGTAGAAGAAGAATTTGATAATCTATGCTTATCTTAAATGGTTTGATAGAATATACTTATGAATTCTAAGATTACTATCTTGTTGTTATTCTTATCATGATTTTTATTTTGACTTAGATGATAATTTGATAGGTTATACTTTCCTTAAATGGTTTGATAGTCTATGCTTAATAAATCTAAGTTGAAATATGACAAAAAGAGAATAGTTTGTATTTTGTAATTGAGATTAGCTAGTGGATTAAATTCTAGATTTCTCATATCTTAAGTGAATCCTCCATCTTGACTTTCTTGAATTTTCTTTTCATTCTTGATTTTATTTCTTGATTTTATTCATTCTTCTTTCTCCCCTTATGATTTCATTTATTCTTTGATTCTTATTTCTTTTCTCTAAAATTCAATTTATTGTCTCTTGCATATATTCACAACAATCACTCATCACAATCACACTTATTCTTTAATCCCATTTTGTCACGCACACAACATAAGAACCTATTCTAATAATCTCTTAAAATCACCTTCCTCGTGGGATCGATAACTTTTTATACTATAACTTGATCAATTGTGCACTTGTAATTTTGGTACATAATTATGCCGCATCAAGTTTTTGGCGTCGTTGCCGGGGAAGGTGTTAAAATAGGATTTTATTATTTTGGTTCTTTAACTTATGTGTTTTCTTGTGAAGGAACCGCTTGGAGCTTGAAAATCTTGGATTGAAGATCAAGAACTTGGAGAATTGCTTTCGGGTAAGTCTTCTTTCTAGCTTTTTCAATTCCATCCTTTTTAGTTAGCTTCACCATTAGAGACAATTAGGAATTTTAAAAAAAAATTATTTTTGTTGACCATAATAAAATTCACCTTTCACTTGGACATTAACTAACAAGATAATAAATTCAAACAAGAGTTCTCTTCTCATATTTGATTGTTGTTGACCATAATTAAAAAATATAAAGATTTTCTTTTTATCATCCTTTTTTAGTCGCTTTTAATTTCTAGGGTTGCATTTCGTATAGTTTGTAGGAATTCACCAAAATAATTGTAGCACTTGATTTGGCACATACTTAAAACATTCTTAAGGGTAAAACCCCATAATTAAGATAAGGTAAGGGATTTTATCACCCTTTCCTTAGCCCACAAATCACTACTTCCTCACTTCACAAACCCAAGCCTTCTAAAACTCATTAGACGTTGGCCCCTAAGGACTCGAGCTCAATAAGGAATAAGAAATCCTTAAGTGAACCGGTTTAAGTTTTCTCAGATTAGTTGGTGTCTGAGGCAAGGTTTAGGAGTTGCGTAAAGCGCTCCGTAAGGAACGAGATACTTAATTGATCTATGATCACCCTCTAGTACTATCCTTACCTGGCTAACTATCTGGGTAAAACTTTAATCTTTTCACTGTAGGAGTTTTTGGTTAGAAGCTGGTCTAGTTGAGTTAGGCTAAACCCTAGAATTAGAGTGATTAAAAAGTAATTGCTTTGATTTGTTTTAGTTAAGATTTTTTTTTTCTTCTCATAAAAAAAACTAATTTTCTTTCTTTCTTTAAAAAAATTATAAAAAGAAGTTGTTTTGGTGTATGCAAACTTGGGTTAGGGATAATTCTCATCGTTTAATCCGTGTTGAACCAATCCAAGAAATGGCAAATCAACCGGTTCTCCAGCATATGTATTACCCTACTAGAAATGTAATTCCGTCTTGCATAAGGCTCCCCGAAGCAAATGGAGCAAATTTTGAGCTTAGACCGTATTATATAAACATGTTTCCCAAATTCCTAGGAAATAAAACAGAAGATGCATATATTTTTATCTCGGAATTTGAGGAAGTGTGTATTATAATTAAAATGAGAGAATTAACCGAAGATGCGATTAAGCTTAGATTTATTCCATTTGCTCTTAAGGACAAAGCTAAAAAATGACTGTACAGCTTACCGATAAATTCCATCTCAACTTGGGAGGAATTTGTCACCGTTTTTCTCAAAAAAAATTCTTATTCATAAAACGGTAAAGCTTAGGAACAGTATTCAAAACTTTAAAATTGTCCTAGGGGAGCCATTATGGAAATATTTTGACCGATTTAAAGATTTTTTAATCCAATGTTCTCATCATGGTCTAGAGAAATGGCGATTGTGCCAAGTTATATATGAAGGATTGGACTATTCTTCAAAAACATCTTTAGAATCGATGTGTCAGGGAGATTTTATGAGAAAAAACGCCGATGAAGCTTGAGAATTTCTAGAGAGTTTATCCGAGAAAACAATACAGTGGGAACACTGTGATGACAGGGTTTCATCAGTTCCCCAATCTAAGTCTAGTGGTCTTTCCCTGGAGTCAAACATTGCTTCTGAAGCAAAGATGGCGACGATTCTGCGGAGGTTAGAAGCCTTAGAAGTTAAGGAACGAGCTCCAGCTCAAATCAATCATGTTTCTGCCCCGGGATGTCATAACTGTCAGTCTTCTACCCATGTTTTATAGGAATGTCCTCTCCTAGAAAACAATCATGTATTAGAACAGATGAACGCTACATTCTAGCACCCTAGAAATGATCTATTTTCTCCAACCTACAATCCAGGTTGGAGAAATCATCCTAACTTTGTATGGAATCAAGGAAATTCTCCCGAAAATCAAAACTTCATTCCCGCGTCGAACCAACAATTCCCTAGGGAAAATACACTTCCATTCAACGCACCAAATAATTTTCAACAAGCTAACCCAACTTTTCCAACCCAACATCCTCATCCTCACCAGCCTACAAATCCTTCAAATTCTGATCATGACAAATGTTTAAGTATCTTAGAAAAGGGTTTAGAAGCTATGATCAAAGCTTCTACACAAACTACCAACATGTTGACCTAGTCATCCATCACTCTAAATTCCTTCATGCAAACCACCGGCCAAGTGCTCAACTCGAACACTCCCATAGCCCGGTTAGAAACCCAACTTGGGCAACTAGCCACTGCCGTGAGTGAGAGAGAAAAAGGAAAATCCGGTTAGAAACCCAACTTGGGCAACTAGCCACTGCCGTGAGTGAGAGAGAAAAAGGAAAATTCCCAAGCCAACCTGTTGCAAACCCTAAAGACAATGGATCCAGTTCAACCCATCCAACTCATGTGAATGCAGTTCACACACTGCGATCAGGAAAACAAATAGACAACCAAGTTAGAATGCCACCGGATCAAACCCCTTCTCCCATCCAACATGCTCCTTCCGATGAAGCAATTCCTTCCGATGACCAAAACGCTGAACATGAGATTGAGCCTGATCTAGATAGGTATAGGCCCTTTGCCCCCTTTCCAGATAGACTCAAACCTAGGAAAAACTCCCCGCAGGTTGAGAAAATCCTAGAAACATTTAAACAGGTCAAGATCAACATCCCTCTCCTAGATGCAATCGAACAAATCCCCTCTTATGTAATGTTCTTGAAGGACTTATGCACTAAGAAAAGAACCACTAACGTCCCCAAGAAAGTCTTCTTAGCTGCCAACCTCAGCGAAATTTTTTCAAAACCCATACCGTTAAAATACAAGGACCCTGGTTATCCCACAATTCCATGCGTCATAGGTAACACTCACATTGATAAGGCACTTCTAGACTTGGGAGCCAGCGTCAACCTCCTTTCTTATTCAGTCTATCAACAGCTAGGTGTAGGAGAACTTAAACCGACAATATGCACTCTGTAGTTAGCTGATAGATCTGTAAAAATTCCCAAAGGAGAGGTAGAGGATGTTCTGATCAAAGTTGGAGAGTTCATTTTCCCTGTTGATTTTATTGTCTTGGAAACGCAATCCGTTTCCAATCTCAAAAATCAAATCCCTGTCATTCTAGGAAGACCGTTTTTAGCCACCTCAAATACTTTGATCAATTGTAGAACCGGTCAGATGAAACTATCTTTTGGGAATATGACTGTTGACCTCAATATCTTCAACCTGTGAAGGCAGCCTAGTGATCCATCTGATAAACCTATGGAAGTGAATTTCATTCAAGGAATATCAAGTGAACAACAAGAGGGAGAGTGTGAGTCCACTACCACATATTTGCTCTAACGCAACAGTTCAAAACCGTTGCGCTAGCCATGGAACCGTCGCCCTTGAGCAAGTGCGACGGTTCTCAAACCGCCTCATATGCTGCCGTTGCCCTACCTCTACCGTAACGGTTTTGAACTCTATTGCGACGGTTTTTTGAACCGTTGCCCCTGCATCTAACGCAACGGTTTTAAAAGGTAAGTGGTTTTTAAGCCATTGCAACGGTTTTGATTGAGCTATTGCGACGGTTTTTAAGCTATTGCAGCGGTTTTGATTGAGCTATTGCGACGGTTTTCAAGCTACTGCAGCGGTTTTTTTAGATATTACAACAGTTTTAAAAGACCTAATGCAACGGTTTTAGTAGGCTAAATATATGGTTTTGATAGAGCTACGGCAACAGTTGGAGGTATTACAACAGTTTTAAAAGACCTAACGCAACGGTTTTAGTAGGCTATAAGTATGGTTTTGATAAAGCTACGGCGACAGTTGGAGCTATTGCAACAGTTTTAAAAGACCTAACGCAACAGTTTGGATTGAGCTATCGCAACAGTTTGGATCGAGCTATCGCAGCGGTTTTGATCGAGCTATCGCAACGGTTTTAATCGAGCTATTGCAACTGCTCAATCGAAGCTGTTCTTGGTTTCCTACGTCAAAATAATTATAGTATTCAATTACCTGGACAATCTTTTTAAGAACATGGCCAAGTCAAATTTTAATACACAATATAAAAGTGATTATGTTGAGCATAATCAACCATAATGATAAGTGCCAACATACATCAGTATAGTATAAAAACTACAAAGTATTAAATCCACACTACCAACATTTCAACTCAGAAAATATCGTACCGAACTAACTTTCAAACAATGTACATCAACATTTGATTACAAAACATGAAACTTCTCGGTCAAAGACTATATTCTCTATTTGTTTCTAAAAACTTGTTCCTCAATGTCAAATACTCACTAGGAACCTGTCAGTATCAATCTCAATCTTGGCTTTCATCATTTCTGTACCTGTGTAAATTTCCATGAATCAGCATAATTTTTGCAATGATGATAATAAAATTGGGGAAAAAAGATGTTTGAAAAGGAAGTTAAGAGAACAATGTACATCATGCTCTTGTTTGTTGCCACAACCAAATCCAACCATTTTAACAAAAAAGGGTTTGGATAAATTGGGGAAAAAAGTATGTTGTTTCAAGTTGCACATGTGACAAATATTACATGGATGCTTCCCAAACAATGAATTTAGGATTGAGAATTCTAGATTTGAAATTACCTCAAATGATCTCCTCTTTTGAACTTGATCTAGAATCACCCACTGTTACAGTTTGTCCAAATACTAATCAATGTCTGCACATGCATCCCTAAGGGCAAAATTGTCATATCAAGTTTTGTAAAATTCTCTAACCGTTAATTCTTGTGACTTTCTTCACGCTAATGTAGCAATGTCATTTTATCCCTAAAAACTAAAAATGTTATCCCTACTTAGTTTTAAACTCACTTACTCGAGAAGAGATTTTGCTTATAAATCTAATACATTATATATGTATATAACATGAAGTAACTTCATAATGAAAAGCACATACAGTCAATACCTTGCCCATGGTATGAAAACTAAGCTCAAGAAGAAACGATATCAAATCTGTGGGGTCCACGCCATAATCCTTCAAACAATGAGCAAAAACCAAAACATTAGAATATAGAAAAAGTACATTACACATGCACACAAACAGTCACATAAATGTAAGCATGCATACGTCCATACATGTATATATGTATGTATAAATTAATTAATGCATGAATAGTTATACGTGTGCGCATACATAGGTACATTGGACCAACATAAATGCATGTGTATAAGATGTGCATAGATAGATAGAGCATCAACTGTGTCTTCCCCTTAAAATGGAGTTAGATATGGACACAACAAAAGATTTATAAAATTTTATAAAAGTATCAAGTCCTTGATCATCGATGGGCACATGTAACAACAAGAAATATGCTAATCTTGCTGAAAGCTATGGAATGAGTGCTAGAACTTCTTACCTCAGAAGATGAGATATACTCCCCTACTATGTACCACAGTTGGGCATTGGTTTCCATCAGCTGTTTAAAGAAACAACCATAAGGTAATATCAAGGTGAATAACGAACTTATTAATGAAGTTTTAATAGAAACAAACCAGGAACTGAAAACCATACTTAATTAGCGTCGCAGCTTCATTTTCCCTGCATGGCATCAACACTTCTAAATGTTTCATGAATGTTTACGTATTAAATATCTATATGCTGAGAATCCACCAACTTGACTAAGGAAACTTAGAAGCAGAGAACCTTGAACTCAAAAGACCTCACTGAAAAACTCGCAGCATAGAGGACCTGAAATTCGTTAACCTCTCTGCTTGAGCTGAGCTTATGAGTTGCAACAAGAAACACTGGTCTACCCCAAGGTGAAAGGACACTATTATCCTTAGGAACATAAAATATGAAGCAGATGGTCCAAACCATATAACTTGGTGTTTGCGTCGAAAGTTGTTGTATTCATTGCGGTATTCATTACAACTTCGGTCGTTACAATAAAAACAAAAAAAGATAATCTTTTTATAAGATCTTTACACAATGAAAACAAAAGTTACAACTCTCGTCAAAACAAACGCAGAGATCGTTTATCGGTCTTCTGCTTGCGTGGAATCTTTGCCTATGCCGGGGTTTATCCGTGGACCGCCTTAGATCTGGATCCGGTTGATGGAAAATTCGGCAGAACTTCGCCTTCGCCGAGGAAGTATTTGATTTGAAGCGCTGAGATCGACCAAGCGAAATCAGGGCTCTTCTCGAGATTAAGACCAAGCCTAATCTCAAGGGACGGACGAACGGGGTTCAGATCCTTCGAATAGCTCCTTCTTTATGCCAAAGTTCGTCGGGATCTGATTTACCTTCGCTAAAATTCGTGCTTCTTGACTCCTCAATCCAGCAGCACCTCCACGTCTTGATAAATATTCGTCCCCGCTGAAAGGAGGCCCTAAGCTTGTATTTATAGGCCTCGGATGCGGTTATTTGGATGAGAACAAGTGATTTGGCTCTATCTTCAGTTGAACAAACAGCCTACACCACGTTTGGGGATGAATCTCAAAGCTAGTTAAGAACCTCCTGGAACTGCAAAAGGATCTCGAGAAAGACCGTTAAAACAGTCGAATACACTCAGGGGGTCAAAACAGCGCGGGCAGACTGGTCCTGACCAGCGGTTGCGGCGGGTCGGACGCAATCCGACCCGCGCGGTCGGGTGAGAACGAGCGACAGGGGTCGGTTTGTTCCGTCCCGCGCTCGCGCAGGTCAGTTTGTTCTGTCATGCGCTCGCGCAGGTTTGTTGATTTATATGCTTTGAGTTGATTGACGCGTGCGTGTTGATTGACGCGTGCGTGCTGATTGGCGCGCGCGAGCTGACTGTCAAGCGCGCAGGTCACTTGATTCGCCGTTTTGCTTCAGGCGCTTGTCGGCGTCAGATAATCCTCTTAGACTCGGATAACAATGTCCGTCGTCTTCTCTCTGTCTCGAGCTGTGTGTGGATACCTATAGGCATTTTTAGACGCCTACAGATACCCCCTCCAAAGTATTCCAGACTCATTCTTTTATAGAGGAGTCTGGAATGCTTTGGATAAGATAGGCCATCTCCTCTATTTCGTAGAGCGACCTTTAACTACCTCAATTCTTAACTTCTTCAGCCTTCAATCTATTCATTGTTCCATCGAATAGATGAAGTTCTTCCGGCGCTGCGTTTATCGTCTGACCGTTGTCGAAATCTTGAACTGAGATTGGTGTGTAAGTTTCTGAACTTAGCTCGTGCCATTGAGTTGACTTTGAACTAATCCTCTCCGTCAGAAATTCATATCTGATTGTAATTCTCCGTCGGGAATTCATATCTGATTGTAACTGGAATCCTTGGAGTCATCTTTTGCCTTATTTTGGCGAAATTGCTGATGCGTTGACCGATATCGATCTTTACTGTAACGCGTTGACCGGCGTTAACACAGTTTATACTCGTACGTTTGCTGGAGTCTACACAGTTTAAGCTCTTAAGGCATTGGAGCGTGACGGTCCCGAATGTTGGGCTGCAGGACCAACTATTAAAGCTGATTCATCTGCACGTGTGGATCTTATCCTGAAGTTTGTTGGATGCTCAAGTCATGAGACCAACTAATGGTGATCCTCACGCACTGACATGGCAGGCTCAATTTCAGTAGTCCAAGCAGTAGAATTTGGACTGAGCCAATCCAAGTGTGCAACCATATGTTTTCAAGGACTACAGTGATTCTACTGGTTTGTACAGAATAAACTGCGCATGAAGGGACCAAAATAAAGTGCATAGCTTTTGCTGCAGCAAATCAGAGAGGTAATTCCAAATGAAAAGCTTAAACATTGATTTGCACTATGGAATTTAATATCTCAAGGGATAAAATCATGTTTTCATCAACATGAAGGTCAAAATCAATTTCAATAGGCAACAACTTCTGAAACTATATGATGCACAGATGCATCCAAGATGTTCCCATCTGTACGGGTCAACATGTGTGCATTGGTTCTTTCACTAGTTTAATAAGAAAAATTACATAGCAACTAAGCTTGTCCAACTATTTACAGCTAGTTATGAATTTTGCTCAATAATAGAGCAATCATGTATTATTTCAGTTTATAATACATGATGAAAGTACACTAAACAACAAAACATGCAGATGATTGTCCCTGAACTTCTTTCCTAGAACTCAGAAGAATGATCCTAATCTCAGAATCTTGAGCTCCACACCAAAGTCTCCTTTACAGGTCCATATCTAAGTTAACAATGTTCCGCATTTATATGTCAATTGAACCTTCCGACTTATCAGCCCCATGCTGGTCACAAGTGAACTCTTATGTTTCAGGAATAAAGATGGATTTCTGAATATAATCAATAAAATATGCCACATGTCAATTGCTTATATGAACCCTTTCTTGGCTCAAGAACATAAGATTATACTGATATTAGGCATGACTTATAAAAAGTGATATATAACATTATCTTCTTTGTGATGATAAGGATTATATATAGCATACAAGTTGTCTGCAACTCATTTAATTGGGGAACATGACTCAGATACACATCATAACAAATTATCAATTTTTTTGGGACAAAACTTGAGAAATAAAAGTGATATATAACATGCAATAACTAAGCGGGTCATTGAAAAGATTTCATATACATCATCACAGATTTCCCGGCTAATTTATATGCTAGTCAATAACTTTAAAAATCACTAAATTTAACTGGAAAAATCAATTTGAACTCAGAAAGCGGTAGTGGGAATTGAGAAATCAAAATATCGTGAGAAGAGATAGGTGGAGCAAACCCTAGAAAGCTCCCGTTAGCGAGATATGGGCTCAATTTCTGGAGCAACGAGAGTAGCTCGACGATGAAACGAACAAGATGAAAACGGCGACGAAAGTAAATGGACTCCAGCGAGGACTGAAGACGGCGACGAGACCAACGAGAGTAGGTCGACGACGAGAATGACAACAAGCTCGAAGATGATATCGGAGAGGAGATTGGAGATGAGATCCAATATGAAAACAACGACGAATTCAGTGATGAGATCGCCGATTATATGAAGATCTTGGCCACGGCGATTTTAGGGAGCGGAATTTTTTGGCTCACACTAGTACAAAGCAGGGCTGCCCCAACGGTTGAAACCGTTGGGGCAAATCATGACCCCAACAGTTAGAACCGTTGGGGCTGAAAAAAGGACCGTTGGGACAAATTGCGTTGGGGCTGAGTCAGCCCCAACGGTTGCCAAGTTTGCCCCAACGGTTCCAACCGTTGGGGCAGTTAGGCAAATCAAATAAAAAAAAAGATATCAACCATTGGGGCTGGGCACCTTTGTACTGGGGCTCCTTGACAGGCATAGCAATAATAACCCATTGTCAGGCTAATATAGTTGGTGTTAGGCCAAGCCTTTACATCTTAGCAGATACAGGTAAATGTAAATCAACGATTGTCCTGACTTAGAACGCCGTGGTCCTAGTGAATATATTGTAAATAATACAAACTATGAAGATTTTCTTTAGAAGGTTTAAATGCATACCAGTCGTGCTGAAATAAATCCCATGTCAATGATGAGAGAGACATAATTTGGACCACTTGTGGGAACAACATTAATAACCCAAACAGATTTTCCTGCATTTAACAGTGCAGCATAGAACCCGCCTAATCGAGCATTCATGTCAAGCACATTTCTGAGCATGTTAAAAGGTGGAGAGGGATCCTCATCACCAGGCCTCTTTGGATGATCCGAGAAAATCAGAGGTGAAAGAAGAGACCAATAGTTGCGAACAGCAGAGTTCCAATTTAATGCGTCCTCGGCTAAGTCCTTTGAGTGCAAATTTGATGAACGAAAAATAAAATTGTCAATCGGTGTAAAAAGAAATTACAGTTTAAACTATGATCATTTCAAATTACCATGAATTGCAAGTTCAGTTGAGTTTGGATTAACCTAAGAAAAGTCTGTCCACTTGGACCAAGAAAATATCATCTGCATCAGTCAGTTCAAATGTTATTTATTCAACTTCATAATGCAAGATCCAAGATAAGCATTTCCCAACAAAAAAATATGCTGGATCCACTGTTACATAAGAATTGTTAGTATCTTAATGAGCATGTCATGATCAAAGCAAATGATTTAGTATCCAATTCAGTGAGGCATATTCACATTATAAGCCTACTTCATTGAATCTAAACATTTGTCTTAAGCTGATGTAATCTCTCTTATTGACCAATATGGGATATGTTAATGGTGATATTTTTAATGCATAACTTACCAATTCACATGTAGGTCCAACTATGCCTATAAAGCAATCATGCCCTGTTTACATGCAAGCATACATATCATATCGAGTCAGTTCTATACATGAGCCTCTGCTACTAATTTTTTATGTAGACAGACACATCTATTTTTCTATTTTGATAACATAAGTAAAAGTTACATGCACAAATCAACTAGTAGAATGATTGATCAGTAGTTTTGCATTCAACTGAACCAGAAACGAAGTCAATCATCTAGAATTTACCACAAAGTCTGAATAAGAAATAAAGTATAAGAGAAAAAACATACCATTCTTCTCCTAGTCGATTCCACATCTTGCGATGCACATTGTTAGAAGCTGTTTTGAGAAAAGATGCGCTCCTAAGCTGCCGAAGCCACACCCAATATCTAACACAGTTATGGACTTATCTATTATATATGCTAATATATACAGGTGTATGCTAATATATACCTCTGAGATCAGAACAGAATTCTTGATACCACAAAGATTAGTTGCATAATGAAGTCCCCAATCTATGCGGTTAGCCACCTGTTCACTCAAGATGGAAGTGCAAGCTAAAACAAGAGCCATGTTAATGATTACACAAAGAAGTTGCAATGAACTAACCACAAACGAGCACTTCTATCTTAAAATCATCCACAAGCGCTATAATACAGCACCTACAATTTGTAAAATGAATATGAAGGAGAAAACAAAATCATATCCAAAGCTCTAATTGACAGAGTAAATCATATCCAAAGCTCTAGTTGGCAGAGTTTTGGGTTTTAAAATTTATCTCCAACTGAATATATCTCAGCAATTAGAGGGAAAATGAAACTAATTACTGATGGAACAAATTATGTAATACTGAATGATGTTCTAAAAAGAAGACCGGGGATATTCAAGCTCAACCTCAGACTCAAGCTCCAGTGAGGGAGGCAGGAAGAAATAATGTGGTCCTGATGTTAATGTACAGAATACTCATTCTAGAGTTAAATGCAATTTTTCACACATAGATGCCAATTGTTAATCTCTCAGTGTTGGTACCAAAAATTTTCCCACATAATTTAGGTCTAATTATTGAGTCATCAAGCAGATTTAATTTAGGTCCAATTATTAGAGCAACATCTCACATGCTACCGTTGTAAAACTTGGATTGCTTCAGGTTATGAATAGCCACTAAATGAAAGGAGAGGCCATTGAGAATTGACAACCACTATTATCTCTAGGAGCACAAAGCATTTAGGTTAATTGGACGGTACAAATTGGAGTCACATCTACCAGTAAAAGGGAATTAAAAGTAACAATTATATGGAACACAGTATGTAACATATCACATACAACATCTGCATAAGTTGCCCACCTGTTCACTCAAGATGGAAGTGCAAGCTAAAACAAGAGCCATGTTAATTTAGATAGAACCCAACAGTATGCACTAGTTCAACTCCAATCTACAATTAATGTACACAACACTGACGCTTATCTTCCCAGTCACAACCAATGCACACTGTTGGGTTTTCTTAGCTCAATTAATTTAGATATCTAGACTAGTGATCTCTTGTAGACATTTATATAGAAGCCTGGCAAATGTCACTAAGAAGTCTACAAATATTTAAGACGTACATGAGGATTTAGGTATGAATTTAATCACAATTTCCATAAATGTGAAACGTGCCTAGTGCATCAAATATTCATTGTGTATGAAATTTTCACTAGGCTTCTATGGTGAATTTGGTGTCTATGAAGGTTAGTCTCATGCATTCAAGAAAATAAGTCATCAATGGGTCATAAGAAAGTGGATAAATCAAATTTAACACAAGCAGTCCAATTTCAATGATACTAATGGTGCATCATTTAGCTTACTAGTCACACATGAGATTAAGATCATATGAGCTACTGCAATTTTTTTTTTCAACGTAAATTACATGTGCATATTAGTCAATAAGAGGCAATGATGCATGCCTCACTTACAGATGAAACCGTTGACCTTGTCCAAAAAAACTGGGGACAAATCATGATATGACCACTCACTTCATATGTTTGTCCAAACGGACAGTTCGAACACTTAAACCATCAAAAATGTTGAGCTCTAATTCACGTCAAAAGATTAATATCCTGAATTGAGCAACACACCGACACAGATGGCAAATGTGGTCCTCAAGGTGATGCATTATTCACCTGTTAATACTTAATAAGCTTGACCTTGTTGGTGATTTGATTCTAAGCCTGGCCAACAAAGATGTGATCTGAAGGGATATTAGTTTTATTTATTTCTCGTACCAACTGGTATAAGCAAGGAATTAATCATCAGCAGCTTAAATAGCAAACAGTTTAGATAAACTCATAAAGAATTATGAGACTTGACAACTAAAGCTTCTTTAATGGTTCAACAAATTTTGACACTGTTTTAATAAGCATTCAATTAGCATTCAATAAACCATAACTCTTAATAAACTACATGCCATCTATCTGAAGCTTGAAGTCATCACTTTGAATTCATCAGCACCCTTCATATATCTAGTACAGATTTAAGTGCAAGAGACCAAACCACTTGAAAAGATAAAAGAAGTTATCAATCAGCAATCATGTAAATTTCAATGTAGAGGACAAAAGGCAGGAAATAGCAATCAAAAAATAAATTCAGCGGTATGGTAAAAGAATGTAAAGCTAAAATAAGATCAGGTATAGGGTAAAAAATGTGAAGCTATCTCTATTAACATACCTATTACTATTTAAAGAGAAAGGCAAGAAATAGACATGTACCTTTCAATGTAGAGGACAAAAGGCAGCAGCGACGAAGGAGGAGGAGGAGGAGGAGGAGGAAGAGGAGCTCGAATCTACAAATGAAGGAGGAGGAGCTCGAATATACAAATGAAGGAGGAGGAGCTCGAATCAGAGGAGGAGATCGAATTAGGGATTTTAGGGGAGGAGGAGGCGGCGAGAACTCCGACGACGGCGACGATGAGAGGAGGGCGGCGCTTGTTTTGGCGAGAGAGAGGGAAGGAGGGAGGGCGGCGCTGGTTTTGGCGACCAGAGTGAGCTCTGACAATGACGATGAGAGGAGGGCGATTTTAGGGATTTGAGAGAGAGACAGGTTTCCTTTGAGCGGTGCGGTCAAACCATGGGCTTTACTAAAGCTCTCAAAGGCCACTAACAATTATTAAGCCCCGAAACAATTATTAGACCAATGGCAACATTTTATATTAAATGTTGTATTAGATCCTGAAAACCGTTACGATAGATATCTAACGCAACAGTTAAAACCGTTGCGCCTTAACCGTTGCAATAGATCAATTATGTGGTAGTGGTCTGATTCAAATGCATCTGATTTAATGATTGACGAGTTTTCTGATGAGGAACTAGAGTTAGATCTGCTGGTCAATCATGTTTCTGTTGCTGGCTGGTAACGAGAACCTTTGGAGATAGAACCCTGAGTCCAACTTCGCCCATCTGTGGAGGAACGCCCTAAGTTAGAGCTCAAACCTCTGCCTGAAAATCTAGAGTATGCCTACTTAGGGGAGAACGAGTCTTTACCAGTTATCATTTCTTCTGAGTTGACTACCGGTCAAAAGGAAGCTCTCTTAGCTGTTTTAAGAGAGAATAGGGAAGCCATTGGATGGACCATGGCTGATATCAAAGGGATTAGTCCAACCATTGTTCAACACCGAATCCATTTGATAGATGACGCCAAACCTACTAGAGATCCTCAACGTAGGTTAAACCCAGTGATAAAAGAAGCCGTTAGGAAAGTCATTCTGAAATGTCTCGATCATAGGATCATTTATCCCATTTCTGATAGTTCCTGAGTGAGTCATGTCCAAGTTGTTCCAAAGAAATCTGGGATCACCGTGATCTAAAATGAGGCTAATGAGCTGATTCCTACTCGAATCCAAACTGGATGACGAGTTTGTATTGACTACAGAAAACTCAACTTAGCCACTCGGAAAGATCACTTCCCTCTTCCTTTCATTGACCAAATGTTAGAGCGTTTAGCAGGATACGAGTTCTATTGTTTCCTGGATGGATATTTAGGTTACAATCAAATCCCTATCGCTCCCGAAGATCAGGAGAAAACCACCTTTACTTGCCCGTATGGAACATTTGCATACCGACGCATGCCCTTTGGGCTGTGTAACGTACCTGCCACTTTCCAACGCTGCATGATCAGTATATTTTCTGACATGGTAGAGAGATTTCTCGAAATTTTTATGGACGACTTTTCTATTTTTGGTGACATATTTTCCCAATGTTTGCATCATCTTAAACTGGTCCTAGAACGGTGTAGGGAGAAAAATCTGACTCTTAATTGGGAGAAATATCATTTCATGGTCAAACAAGGCATTATCTTAGGACATGTAGTTTCCAATAGGGGAATCGAAGTGGACAAAGCTAAGGTAGATCTCATTTCCAATCTCTCTCCTCCCAAAACAGTCAAAGATGTCATATCGTTTCTTAGTCATGCTGGTTTTTACCGACGTTTCATCAAGGATTTCAGCAAAATTGCTAGACCCTTGACCAATCCCTTAGCCAAGGATACATCATTTGTCTTCTCTCCCGACTGCCTCAAAGCTTTTGAATATCTGAAAAAAGAGCTAACCATAACTCCTATCATTCATGCACCGGACTGGACCGTACCCTTCGAACTGATGTGTGATGCATCTGATTCTGCGATTGGAGCTGTTTTAGGACAACGGTTTGATGGAAAACCACATGTGATCTACTACGCCAGTAGGACTCTGAATGATGCCCAGTAAAATTACTCTGTCACAGAAAAAGAGTTTTTAACTGTAGTCTTTGCCTTAGAAAAATTCAGGTCCTACCTCATCGGCTCCTTAACCAAAGTTTTTACAGATCATGTCACACTAAAGTATCTTTTGATCAAAAAGGATGCTAAAGCACGGCTCATTAGATGGATTCTCCTTCTTCAAGAGTTTGACATTCAAAGAGTTTGATATTCAAATTCTTGACAGAAGGGGAACAGAGAACCCCGTAGCAGATCACCTCTCTCGACTCCCAAATGCACCAACATCAACCGTCCCGATCAATGAATATTTTCCAGATGAACAACTTCTAGAAATCCAATATGTTCCATGGTTCGCCGACATTGTGAACTACATAGTCATGAACCAGATCCTATCTTATCGGTCCAAACAGGATAGATCCCGTTTTCTCTCCCAAGTAAAATACTTTTACTATGATGATCCATATTTGTTCAAATATTGTCCTGATCAGATCTTTAGGAGGTGTGTTCCCACTGAAGAAACTAGGAGTGTTCTATCCTTTTGTCATGAGCAAGCATGAGGGGGTCACTTTGGCCCAAGAAAAACAGCTAAAAAAATTCTCCAATCTGGACTATACTGGCCCACTCTTTTTAAGGATTCATATGAGTTTTACAAAACTTGTAACCGCTGTCAGCTTTTAGAGAAGGTCACTAGGAGAAATATGATGCCTTTACAACCCATCTTATCTGTTAAAATTTTTAATTTGTGGTGTATCGATTTCATGGGACCATTTCCAAATTCCTTTGGAAATGTTTACATTCTAGTAGCCGTTGAATACATGTCAAAATGGGTTGAGGCGGTAGCTTGCAAAACTAATGACAACAAGGTCGTTGTCAAGTTTTTGAAAGAGAACATTTTTGCACGGTTTGGAGTACCCCGAGCAATCATCAGTGACAACGGTACACATTTCTGTAACCATTCTTTTGAGACTTTGATGAGGAAATATTCAATCACACACAAATAGTCAACTCCTTATCACCCCCAAACTAGTGGACAAGTAGATGTCACAAACAGGCAGATCAAATAAATCTTAGAAAAAACAGTTAATCATAACATAAAAGATTGGTCTGTAAAATTATGTGATGCTCTGTGAGCATATAGAACAGCTTTTAAGGCCAATTTGGGGAAGTCACCATACAGACTAGTGTTTGGGAAAGCTTGCCACCTACCAGTGGAGTTGGAGCATCGAGCAATGTGGGCAATAAAACAGTTAAATTTTAACTCAGACTCGGCAGGTAAGAACAGATTGCTCCAAATAAATGAGTTGGAAGAAATTCGAAATGATGCGTACATAAACTCAAAAATTTACAAAGAAAAAACCAAGATTTTTCATGACAAATCAATTTACAAAAAAATTTCTCTCCAGGACAGAAAGTTTTATTGTACAATTCAAAATTGTATCTTTTTCCTAGAAATTTGAGATCAAGATGGACAGGTCCATTTTTTGTCAAACAAGTTTTTTCGCATGGGGCTGTCGAGATAGAAAATCCTAAAAATGGTAACATTTTTAAAATAAATGGTCAACGTCTGAAACCATTTTTAGAATTTTCTACACTCGGAGAGGAAGAGGTGTTGGTTCTTCATGAACCTCATTATCTGTAAAAATAATAATAATAATAAAATAAATAAAAAACTAAAAAATAAAATAAAATAAAATAAAATGAAAAAAAATAATTATAATTTTTTCTCTCTTATTTGATTTCTTCATCCTTATACTAACAGTAATTCTAGATCCTTATCATCGTTGTCGACCGAACAAATGTAAGTTCTTCAAGTCTTATCTGCTTTACTTTTTGCATCAGCGAATTTGCATTGAGGACAATGCAAAATTTAGGTGTGGGGGTGGGAATTAGTTATTTTTTCCCTTTATTTTACCTTTTTAGTTGCATTTTTGTCATTTTTTCCTTTTTCTAAAAAAATTAAAAATACTCTCACTTGCCAATTAATAGAGTTAAGTAATAATTGATCTAATTGATAGATTTTAAATTTTCTAATTCCTAGTTAGTGATATACTCAAGTTCACCTTTTATGATAACTCCAAAGAAATGATTTTTCAAGTAGTATACTGTACTTAAGTCTTACCTTAGACTTTTAATTAAAAATAATGAAATTTTTGCATGCTTAACTTGGAGTTGAAAATATTTTTTTCAAGTTATCTTGATTTACACATTTTTTTCAAACTATATATACTTATACACATATATATATTAAAAAAAACTAACCTTATAAAAGAAGAGTGCGAAAAATGGGCACAAAAAACAAACTCTTAAATTCAAGGTGATTCTATCTTATAAACCCTAAGTTAACTGAGTAATTAAGCCGAATGAGTATTTATATACTTAATGACCTAAGCCCAATTGGGTTGGGATTCATTGGCCCAAAACTCGTTAAATGATCACTTAGAAAGCCCGTTAACAATCACCAAGAATTAGAGAGTGAAAAAAAATTATATACATATATATCTATAACACTAACCATTTTTTTATATACATTGTTGTTTTGTATATATGGTCTTGAAAAACAATTTTTGATCAAGAGACTTGAAAGTTAATCAAAACAAAGAGTTAGCATGTTCTTTTCAAAACTTTTGAATTAAATCTCTAAGATTTGACTTACAAATTAACTTCAAAATTAGTAAAACTTTGGAAAACATTTATAAACATGAAAAAAACATGTTAAAGAAGAAAATTTTAAAATATCAGTTCGTATTTGTGAAAACTTACTATTTTACAAAACAGTTAAAATACGTGTTTGTTCAACACTTAATTTTGATGGAATTTCTTCAAACAAGTTTTGAGATATTTGTAGATGGATTAATAGACTTTAGAAAAGATATAAAATATTTGTGTTAAGTTAATAATCCAAAAATATAATATTTTCTCAAAACATGTACGTGTATGAATTTGAGCTATAAGCATAACCACACATAATATAAACTCCTAAACTAATGTACCCAAACTTGATGATCTTCAATAAGCATGTCTTGGTTTGCTTTGTGGATGAAGCTTGATCTTGAATTTTTGACTTGAATTGTATTGGCTTCATTTTGGTATTCCACTAACCTCCTTTAAATGTTGTTTGTTTAAGTTACCTAATAGGCAAATGCAAACACTAGACAAACGATATTAGGTTTTGTTTGTAAATCATCAAAACAAGATCAGATAGTAGGCTCATAAACATGAGTCCTAATAGCTTCTTAGGTGCGCAAAGATGATATGCGTCGTGACAACACGTACCTGTTTGAGTAGGTAAAATGATTAGTTATAAATTGCTTGTATTTATGATTATTTTCCGTAGTTATATTTATATTTAACGCTGGAATGAGGGTATTAACACTTAGCTTCTAATCGTTCGGAGCACATGATATATATATGGAGGGTTCCTTGTTTGGATTTTTTTCACTCGACTTTACTAGTTCTGTTTAGTTAGGTGTTAAGTGAGAGTATTTACATTCTAGATTGTTAAGTGTAAATATCGCTTATGTTTCATATCTATGGATTAATTTTACATTCTAGATTGTTAAGTGTAAATATCGCTTATGTTTCATATCTGTGGATTAATGGTACGAGGTGTGTACGAAAGGGTTTCCTTGTCTGGGTTATCTCCTCATCGTGCTTTTCTCATATTATTAATCTCTAAGATACGATTGCGGAATTTCGAGAACGAAATTTTTTTAGGAGGGGGTGAATGTAAAACCCCGTGAATTTGGAAAATAGGGTGAATTATATTATAAATAAGCTCTAATTATGATGGATATCATTTATGGATGAATGATTATGCTAACAATTAATTTGAGATTAATTAAGAGTATATATGAGAGTATACAAGGGTTAAACATGCACAAAGAAGAAATCTGGAAAAATAACTAGTTAAGAGTATATATGCTTTACACACTGATATAGTTTGAATATGGAAAAACTCAAAAGACATACATTGTAGGTATCTTCAATAGCTTTTCAACGCATCTTAAATCACCTCAATCCGAGGCTGTACATGAATGTTATAGCCAAAATATTAAAGACTATTTTCCCAGTCTGATTAGGTTTCCTGTTTCAGGTTTGGGCTGTTTGGTTAGGGTTTGCAGCTATATATATACATGTTTACACACGAAAAATACATCTTTTCATTAGTATTTTAAACCCTAGCAGTTCCTCTTCCTCTCTCTCAAATCTTAATCATAATTTATGAGATTTGGGAGAGTTCTTGAGGCGTTTTTCGAGAGGAAGGCAGGATTTTGCAACTTTGGTGAAGAGGGATCTTGCACGCACGTGTTCAGGAGTTCAACACGATGTTTGAGGCAATATCATCTTCCTCCAAACATCTTCGTATAGTTAATTCAAGATTTAATATGTTTAATTAATGAATCTCTTGTTTAAGCTTA